AGAGCCAGAGCACGCTGGACGCCGGCGCCGGCGAGGCCCGCGCTGGCAGCGGCCGCAAGCAGCCCGGCTCCGGCAAGAACACCATGGGCGACCTGTCCCGGACGCCGGCCGCCGAGACGCTCAGCCAACTCGGGCAAACTTTGCAGTCGCTCAAAACCCGCCTGGAGAATCTCGAGGTCCGCGCGCGCCGCGGTTTCCCCTCTGGCTCGCGCGCCCCTCTGCCCTTGCCCACCCCACTCGCGACCCGGCCGGACACCCCCATCCCCGCCCGGCCGGGGCCGCCCAGAGGCTGCGGAGCTCCCCGCCAGGCCGCCCCCGCAGTCGCCCCGGGGGAACCGCGCCGCGAGCCTCCCGGCCCGGTCCAGGCTCTCGCCGTAACGCTGTGGTCTCCCCCACCCCGCCCTTGCACCCCGCAGCAGTACAGCCGGCTCAATTCCTCCAGCCAGACGAACAGCCTCAAGGACCTGCTGCAGAGCAAGATCGACGACCTGGAGAGGCAGGTGCTGTCGCGAGTGAACACGCTGGAGGAGGGCAAGGGGGGCCCCAAGAACGACACCGAGGAGAGGGTCAAGATCGAGAGCGCCCTCACCTCCCTGCACCAGCGGATCAGCGAGCTGGAGAAAGGTAATAACGTGGGGGGAGGAAGCCTGCTTCAGGCCTGGCTCCTTCTGCCAGTGGGACCCTGCCTGGGGTCCTGGCCTCCTACAGTCAAAGCCCTGAGCTCCGCCACCCCTCCATTGCCCCCCACCCATCTCCCACCCCGTTCTGGGCTTCCAGTCACTCTTACTGGCCTGGCCCAGGCACCTGGACTCTGGCTAGCTCTGTGGAGGGAGAGCAGAGAGAGAGAGGGATTGCCTGGTGGCCTCCGCACCCAGCACGCGCACTCACAGGATTTTTCCAAGTCTCGTTTGTTTAATCTTCAGTAACTTTGCATTGCAGCTATGGTGGCCCTGAGCCTTCTCTGTGCAAAACCCTGGCTCTAGCCTGTCTCCATCCCCAGCAAAGAGCTGGCAGGCTGAAGCCCCGTCCTCCTGGTCCCCCACACATCTGGGCCCTGAGCGGATTTCCTCCCAGTTCCTTGGTGCCCCTGGCATCCTCCAGGGATCTCTGGGGGCCCCCCTCTGCCCCGAGCCCCCTCCAGCGGTTTTCTCTTCTGAGTAACCCAATCCCGGGCATCATGATGCCCTGTGGTTCCTGAGTCACCAACTCCGGAGGCCCCCACTGCACCCTGGGGGGCCCGCGGGTGAGCTCAGTGGCTCAGCCTTGAAGTCGCAGAAATCAAACAAGGTTGTAAAGGGGGGGGGGCCTGGGCTTGGAGCAGGGCCACGTGACCCTTCTCAGACCGCAAAATGTGCCAGATGGATTTAAACAGTGCCATCTTAAGGCACCTTATGTAACTGAAAAACAGATCAGGGGAGGGGGGGCGGAGGGGAAGAGGAGGAGGAGGGGAGAGTCGGGAGAGGAAAACCACCCCCCTCCCCCAGAGGCCAGGGCCCTGGAGCCTGAGACCCTGGGGAGCACCATGGGGGGCGGGGCTGCTCTGCTCCTTGACACCTGGCTTAAAGGAGGCTGGGGCAGCGGTCCCAGCAGGACGCCTTCTAGAAATAATCCTCGGCCTGGGGGCCGTTTCCGAGCTGGGCTCCGTGGCAGGCCCCGTGCGCACCCTGGGGCTGGCGGGTGTGTGTGCTCTGACTCCCGGCCTGGTGCCTGTGCCCGGTGCTGGGTGGGAACGTTTTGCCTGGAGTCAGTCGCCGTGCCCAGGGCCACAGCCACAGTGTTTGTGTGGGTGGGGAGGGGGCAGGCAGTGTTCCCGGGGGACATCTTGGCAGGCGAGGAACTGGTGGCCTCCTGTAAGGGAAAGCTAGGAGGCAGGAGCCTGAGTTTTCAGGAAACACACAGGAAGCTCATTCTGAGTGAGTGGCCTGGTCCTCAAAGGTGGGGGGGCCGGCTCCAGCGGGGGGTCCCTGCCGTCCTGCATCCCAGGCAGAGCTGCTAGAAGAGCCTGGGCTCCCTCCTGTGGGGTGAGTGGGATTCCGGAAATAGCCCGAGTCCTCAGGCTGGGACCAGGGGCAGCAACGTTCCTGCCTCGAGGGACGTGTGCAGGGCACCAGAGACCTGGCTGTCTTGGGTGGAGACCCAAGAGGGTTCTGAGTACTGTCTGCAGCCAGCATCCTGGAATCAGGCCGGACCAAAGGGCCGCTCCCAGGGGAGCTGGCCCTTTCTGGGGCGGGGTGGGACCTCCTTTCTCCAGATCCGCCTGGCAGGGTTGGTTTCCAGGGTGCACGCTGACCCACTGCCTCCCGCCCACTACACAGCCCAGGTGCGCATGCTCAGGGCCGCCATGCTCCCCCACCCTCATCCCGGACCCCTCAGGGCAGCACCATCGGGGACCCAGACCTGGCTGCAGGGACCTTGGTCCGCTCTCCCGTCCTGGCCCCATGCCCTGGGACAAAGCATGTGACCTCTCGGAACCCCTCCCAGCTCCTGCGGAGTGGCGGCGCAGTCTGCTGTCTGCGACCCTGAGCTTGACGGGGCTGAGTGGGCTGCAGATGGGGAGCGGCACTTCGTCGGGGTGCACAGGTCAGGACTGTGCCCTGTCCTCCCCAGGTCAGAAGGACAATCGCCCTGGAGACAAGTTCCAGCTCACGTTCCCGCTGCGGACCAACTACATGTACGCCAAGGTGAAGAAGAGCCTGCCGGAGATGTACGCCTTCACCGTGTGCATGTGGCTGCGCTCCAGCGCGGCGCCGGGCGTCGGCACGCCCTTCTCCTACGCCGTGCCCGGCCAGGCCAACGAGCTCGTCCTCATCGAGTGGGGCAACAACCCCATGGAGATCCTCATCAACGACAAGGTAGGGCCCTGCCCAGCTGGGCGAGCGGGCACAGCAGAGCCAGGCCCCCTGGGTCCCGGTCCTGGCCGGCTGCTGGGGCAGGTGGTGACCCTTCCCACCGGTCCATCCCTGCCTCTTCTTCCCCATCCACCCTCAGCCCTGTCTTTGCCCCTCGGCGTTGAGGACCACAGATGCTCTGGGGGTGCACAGGTGCCCCTAGAGGTTCTTCCCAAGCCAGATCTGCTCCGCTCACCCCCGCCCCTGGGAGGGGGCCAGAGCCCAGGGGCAGGCAGCCTTTTTCCTGGGGGAACCCCCTCCATCAGCCCTTCAGTAGCTGCCAGCGTTCACACTCCCCAGTCCCTGAGCCGGTGCTGGTAGCAAATGTCTAACACCCGGGCTGGAAATTGGAGTCCGAGGCCTTGGTGCCCGGGAAGGTTGTGCCTTTCCAGCCGTGTCCCCCGGTTGCAGGAGTGAGGAATTTGTGTATTCAGATCGTCTTAGGGGCCCCTTGACAAAGCGTCACACGACCTGTGCTCCTGTGACCCATCCAGCAGATGGGAGCTAACAGGTGCAAAGCCCGGAGGGGCGGGTGCTGTGAGAGTTCAATCATAGCTCCTGTTCTTTATTTTAAATGTAGCAAGAGGAAGAATAACAGTTGAACTAGTAATAGTGATGATCATTGATCCTCAGCTGTACCCCTGTACCCTTAATGTCACGTGTGTCATTCTCCTTCCCAGGTGGCCAAACTGCCTTTTGTCATCAATGACGGCAAGTGGCATCACATCTGTATTACCTGGACCACCCGAGACGGGGTCTGGGAAGCCTACCAGGACGGCACCCAGGGCGGAACCGGGGAAAACCTGGCTCCCTACCACCCCATCAAGCCACAAGGCGTGCTGGTGCTGGGCCAGGAGCAGGTACTGGCCATGGGGGCGTAGGAGGGGACACCCAGAACCAGAGGGCAGGCAGGTTGGGAGGGCTGGGCAGCGGGGACCAGGAGGGAGCAAGCTGCAGAGGGCGGTGGTCCCCGACACGTCAGGGGGAGCAGGTTATGCAGCAGTTCGAGCAGAGTCGAGCTCCGGGGGGACTGTCAGAAACGCAGCGGCTGCGGCATTGGGCGTCAGCCTCTGAGACTGCAGCAGAGCTTCCTCTGGCACTGGAAAGCCACTCGTGCCTTTAGTGGCAGGCGATTTATTTCCTGGGAGTGGTTCATCTCCCATTGGGCATCTGGGATGGAACTGGAGGCAGCAGAGTCCCAGGCCTTCTGCTTCTGTGGGGCAGCTGTTGCTGGCAGAGTGACATCGAGTTCCTTGACTAGAAGCAGGAAGAGTGGGGAGGTGTCCTTGCTCCCAGGTCATCCATGGCCCCAGTTGACCCCTCCTTCGCCGGCTGAGTGACCAGCTGAAGGACAGGCAGAGTCCAGCTGTCCCCCCAGGAGAAGCTCTGCATCCATGGCAGAGGCGACCAGCAGCATCCCTTTTCCTGGGCTCCCCATGGTGGCAAAGTGACGTAGGGCTGAAGACCCAGAGCCCCTGATGGAGGAGACAGGGGACGTCCCCCTGCTGGGTCCTCACCCCGACCGCTCCCTTCACCCTCATCCTGTTTTTCTCTGAAGGACACTCTGGGTGGCGGGTTCGACGCCACCCAAGCATTCGTGGGTGAGCTGGCCCATTTCAACATCTGGGACCGAAAGCTGACACCAGGGGAGGTGTACAACCTGGCCACCTGCAGCTCCAAGGCCCTTTCTGGCAACGTCATCGCCTGGGCCGAGTCCCACATCGAGATCTATGGCGGGGCCACCAAGTGGACATTCGAAGCCTGTCGCCAGATCAACTGAGCTCCCGCCCCTCAGCCAGGCCCCCACCCACATCCCCTGCTTCTGCGGTGACGATCTGTCCTGTCTCTCTCCCTCTCCCTCAGGAATGTCAAGGCCATGGCCCTCGTACGCGCACACACGCACACGCTCACGCTCACGCTCACGCACAGCCTGGTTGGGTCCTCGTGCACATGAGGCAGGCCCGGCTCCCATCTGTCCCCAAGGAGGCCCTCTTCTCTCTAGGAGCCCGGGACCCTTCCTCAGGCAGGCCCCAGTCACCGAAGGCGCGGGCGGCGGCATTTTAAACGCAGCAGGTGAGAGGCCTGCGCGTGTGTGCGTGTGCGTGTGTGCGTGCGTGTGTCTGAGTGTGTGTGCGTGTGTCTACGAGCGTGTGTCTCTGGGGGGAGGCTTTTTCTTTTGGAATGAGGCATTTCATTTCCTCTTTCTTTGTGGCTGTGGGGACTCTCATGGCTGGCTGAGTGCGTCTGCCAACCTTGCAAGCTGCCCGTGTGCCTTGAGGCCCGTGTGGCTTCTTCATCACACACATTTGTATCCATTTGCGAAGCTTGTTCTGAGCAGCATATCTCTACTGATGAGATGAGTGTCCTTTGGCGGCTTGGTAAAGGCTGGAGGGGGGGGCGGTGCTCGCCACGAAGCGTTTTTCTTTTGTAGTAGAATTGTCTCTGAAGGGGTGAAGGCACCAGGTGCTCAGAGGAGGTGGGAAGGGGGGTCCGGGCAGTCCCCCCTCACCCCCTAGTGCCCGGCCAGCATCCCGCTGTTGGCATCTGGGAGGCTGGCCTGCGTGTCCAGCCCGGCCGGCTCTGGCCCTCAGCCCTCCCGCCTCCTCACGCCCGGCCCGGCACGCCTGGGATCCGTCCTCCCTCTCAGCCGCCAGCTTGTCCTGCCACCACAGGACCTGAGAAAGGAGTGTCCCACCCGCAGCCCGGGAAGCCAGGCCCCCGGGCCCCTCCCCGTTGCCTGCGGCAGTGGGAGACGGGAGGCTGCGGTAGGTCAGCTCAAGGGCACATCTTCTAGATGAGGAAACCTGGTTACCCGGCCACACGGGGCCACTGAGACCCAGCCCACGCAGCGGGCCGGCTCAGCGGCTCAGCCAGCCCTCCGGGGGCAGGGCCTCCGGAGACCCCTCACCCAGGCCAGGCCCTGAAACCCACTCCCCATCTTACAGGGCTCAAGTCCTGTAGCAGCCCCCAACCTGTTGCCAGCTAGTGACACTGAGACCCAGCCAGTGTCCAGAAGCTTTTTTCCCCCATGAAAAGCCATCATGCGCATTTCCTTCGAGTCTTTTGAGGCGGGAGGAAAACTGTGTGTGTGTGTGTGCGTGTGTGTGCGTGCGTGTGTGTGTGTGTGCACGCGTACATTGAGAGAGAGAGAGAGGAAAAGCATTCAGACAGATCACGCCCAGGGCAGGCGAGCTCCCTGCTTTTCCGCACCATCTGGGGGTCGCATGCCCCAAGGGCACCCTGGACTCTGTCACCAGGAGTCTAAATAGCAAAAGGCTGGCAAGTCTTTCTAGAAATCCTGCCGCACTGCCTGGCTCACCTACAGCTGCAGACATTTCTTCAGAAGGAGCAGGTGTTTCTGCCTCCCGTTCCGGGGCACCTGTCTCCCTAAACGCAGGTCCATATTGTGTCGGAAACCTAGTGCATCTGTGTGTGTCTGTGCTGGTGTCTCTGTGTGCGTGTCCCCGTGGGTGTCTGCACGGTGCCCGGTCGCCGATCTGCCGCGCTCCGTTTGCAGGACGCGGCCCAGGCTGTGCGTCGTGGCTCAACAGTGGCTTTTTTCTTCTGACCATTGTGCTTTGTCAGAGCTGTAGGTTGTGGCATCTTTGGATCTGCAGAGACCTTCTCTGTTTGCATGTCCCTCGGGGTGGCGTGTCCCTTGCCCCCTCAGTCTGACGTGTGTCCCCCTGCCTGCATGGACTTCTCCGGTTCTGTGTTTTGTGCCAAGTGCCACCCGTTGTTCTGTGACCATCCATGTAGCTACCGAAAATGGCTGGGAATGCAAGCCAAGGGTGTCGGGGGGAGGTCACGGGAGAGGATCCGTTCCCTCTTCCCGCCCCCACACCCCAAACACACCAAGAAGTATTTTTCACGTGCAGGACGAGGACAGGCCTAAACAGTACCCGTGGTTGGTAGAGAGCGAGAGCTTGAAATCACCCCTTTAGACCAGACGGCCCACCCTCACATCAGCCATCTGGGAGCTGCTGCGAGGCAAGGCCCAGAGCCGGCTCGGTGCTCTCCGGTCAGCCCCTCCCACCAGCCCCTGCCGATGCCGGAACCCCAGACTCTGCCCAGCGCGGGCTTGGTGGGAGCTGTCCATCAGGACCACAAGCCATCCTCTGCCCTGACTAGAGACGGGCAGAGCAAACCCCAGACGTGTCTGTCCCTTCTGCCTCCTGACCCTTCGCCGTCCTCGCCCCTCCCCTGACGCACCCGTGGTGCCAGGGACAGAAGCTGACACTTAGCTCCCTTCCCGCCCCTACCTGGAGCCTGTGCCAAGCCCCCGACGCCCTCACTGTGTTAATACTTGGCACCCTGCTGGCCCCGAGAGAGGACGACACAGCCACCAATCTAGTCCACTAGTTTCCACCGACTCCTTAATCTGATTGATGCTCCCTCTTGCACTGAATAACCCATGCCTATCTCAGGTAAGCCGTTTTATAAACGAAGACGGTAAGAAGCACTGTGGAGACAGTGTCTGCTTTGGCCGAGCTGGAGCCCCACGGCTCTGCGGGTCTGGGGCGCGAGGGGGCAGAGGGGGCGGCCAGCAGGCTCTCCCGGCCCCCAGGGGGGCTTAGATCCCACTCGAATCGTAAGCCTTCTTGCTTTTGATAACACGGTATTATTTCTCTTACTGTAGAAGAAAAAGTTTATTACCAAACAAGAGTATTTTTATGAAAGAAAAGGACAAACCTATAAATTAACTCAACCTCTATCTCCCTCGAAAATACTTTCAGGCTCCACCAAAACGTAGGACTGAAAGCACGTATTTTGGAAGAAAGAGACACGTTTTGTATGCTTTCTTTTCCTTTTGTAGATTCCCAGTTTATTTTCTAAGACTGCAAAGATCACTTTGTCACCAGCCCTGGGACCTGAGACCAAGGGGGTGTCTTGTGGGCAGTGAAGGGGAGGGGCGAGGCCGGCGTGAGATCCACGGCTGTTCCACTGGGCCCCGAGGAGAGGCCGCCTGTTACCCAAGGCGAGCTGGGACCAGGGTGGAAACGGGCCATTAGTGGCAGACCTGTTGAGAACCGTCTGAGGACTCAGTGCACGGTCCCAGCCCCGGCGGAGGAGTCTAGGGTTCCGTGGTAACACGAGGAGGATGGGGTCTTTTGTAATCTTAAGGCGACCAACGTGTGGCTTGAAGCAGCCATGGTTTCATCTCTTGACTCGGACTCGGAGTCGGAGTGTGTAAATTTCTTCAGCTAATGCTAGGGAACGTGTTGCTCCCATGCACAGTGGACGTGAGTCAATTTGACGGGAACAAGTCATTGAGCCCAATACATAGAGTCCCAATTTTGTCTTATTTGCCAAAACAAACAAACAAACAAACAAAATAAGGACGAGAAAGCGAACCCCCCTATGGTTGATATTGTTGCAATGTACATACTGTATAATATGAGAGAATCGATGTATCTTACTTTTTCATTATTTGCTAACCAAAGCTGTACATTTTTCATATGATCTGCAGCCTTTTGGGTATCAAATGGGTCAAAACCATGGGACCCGCCACCTCCCATCAGCAACTCTGGAAATGCACTATTTCTACTGGTATTCTTGCTTTTTTCTTTTTTTTTTTTTCATTTTCTTGCTAAAATGACATGAATTGTTGAGTTTATTTTTACACAGTAAAGAGTGAAGAAAGACGAAGGTCTCCTCGGAATGTCTCTTTTTTCATCTCAACCTGCCGGACACCTCAGGGGACCTCGCTGGGGACCCCTGCCTGCAGGGAGATGGGCTCTTGGGTTTGCACCGCACTGCGCCCCGCCAGTAACACCAGGGCGTGAGGGGTGCGGAGGGGGCCTCCCTAGTTTGCAGATGCAGCTGACACCGAGGCAGAGAGAAGCTGGGCTTGGGGTGCAGTGACTCCTGCCCCTCGCCTCACCTGCAGCTCCCAGGCAGGTGTACCCCCTGCTCGATAGCACGGCTGGGCACAGGGCCCGCGTGGCCTCAGCTGCCTCCTCTCAAGCAACCCTGCTCTGTTCTCTTTGCCCGCATTCCCACCGGCTGGCCCTTGGCCAGCGCCTGGTTCCCGCCCCTCTTCTGGGGTTCCCTGGGGCCCTTCCCTGCACTCAGGTATGAGAGCACCCCCAGAGTCATGGAACAGGGGAAGCGGGCTCTACAGGGACCCCGAGCGCTGGGAAGAGCTTACTCGTGGACCGACAAAGACTCTGGAGGGACTGAGAGCTTGTGAGCTGCTCCCTTCCAAGGGATGGAATGACCAAGAATCAGAATAGCCCACCTGATTGATGGATCTCCCCCCGCCCCCCAAACACACACACAACACGCGCGCACACGTGCACAGCGGGGTTAGCAGAAGGGACCGGGCCCTCTGGCTTCTCGCTGGCACTGCAGAGCGCACCTGCACTCTCGGCCTTGCCCACAGACTTCCTGCCCAGAGCCATGGCGATCTCTGGCCAGGACCCAGGTGGGGGCGGACAGAGGGGGGAGGTTAGGCCCACAGCAAGGCAGGCGGGCCATTCTCCTGCTGCCCCTGCCGGAGGCTCCTCCGTGGGAGAGAGAAGTCCCCACCAGCCTGGAGGCCCCGACCTCTTTTCTCCAGGGATGCCTATGGCGGGTGGTGTCCCCTATGGTGGGTGGTGACCCCTATGGCGGGTGGTGTCCCCTATGGTGGGTGGTGTCCCCTATGGCGGGTGGTGTCCCCTATGGCGGGTGGTGTCCCCTATGGCGGGTGGTGTCCCCTAGAGCTGCACGCCTGTGGCCGGGCCCCGGCTTGTGCCCAATGCCAGCAGCTCCAGCCAACACACCACCTCTGCCTCCCACGCGGGAAAGCACAGAGTTACATCTGCAGTGATATCACGCCGACGCTTCGTGGAAGGGCTCACTCAGAAACCTGGGCGCTCTAACTACATCAGGAACAAACTGCTGTCCCCACCGCACACACCCGGTCATGGCACGTCCGCGAATGACGTCGGGGGGCATGGAGCAGAGAGCAGCTCAGAAGGAGGCCCCCAGGCCTTGCAGCGGAGCTGGCTCGTGGGGCAGTCTGGGCAGAGGGACAGGGGCGCAGGGTTTCAAAGCTGGAGAGCGTCCTGGGAGTCGCTGACTCCAGCAGCCCGTCAGACACACGACACTGGGCTCGGCCGCACGCCTCTGATGGCTCCGTCGGGGAGTCTGTGTCATGGTGCTGTTTTTATGTTCCTTTTACGCTGTGTTCAGTTCCTCGCACTGAGCTGCAGCTTTCAGCTGTCTACACGCATGAGGACAGCCACCCTGTCCCCTGAGTCCCCGCATCCCTGCCCCCTTCCCCATCCAAGCACGCTGTGCAAGAGGCCACCGGTCTGGCCTGTGGCTTTGTCTAGCTCTGTCTGAAGAGACGTCACATCCGAGACTCGTAAGATGTTGGGCTGGGAGAGCCTCAAGGGCCATTCAGTCCAACTTCCCTTTCCAGTCGAGGGGGTCAAGGCCAAGAGAGGCTGCGTGACTTGTTCAAGGTCACACCGCTTGTCTATGCTGGGGCCAGAATCACAACCCAGAAATCCCGACTCCCAGCCCTGTGCTCTCACCTGGCCTGGTCCTCACCTGTTACGCGGCGCTAATAATCCCCCTCGCAAGGTGTGATGATGGGACGAGCAGGTGTGTGCGCGGGACCAGGCGCGGGTGCACCGGGGCCACCCCGCCCTCCTCTTTCTCATCACCTTTCAGGAGGGCGGGGCACCGCCCCTCACCCACCCCAGGCCACACCAAAGCCCCCGAGGAGCTGGGAGACAGTGCCAGGTTTCAGGGGTTCTTCCCAAGGTTGAGCCTGTGACCCCCTGAGAATCTGGTCAGCTTCAGGCAGCTCAAAAGGCCTCAGAGGCTGGTTCTCAGGTCCCCAGTCTGGGGACCGCCTTCCCCGCCCCACGCCCGGGGCGCTCAGGGGACGTCCCTGAGGCCCTGCACCCAGGTGCAGCCTTCACACTGGCCCGCAGCACCTGGCTGACCTGGCCCAAGGCTTGTCAAATTCACCCCTGAGCCCGAAAGAGGCAGCAGAAAGGGACGGACCCCGGCGTCTGGGGCTGAGGTGGAAAGCAGCCCCCCTCCCCCCGCAAGAGCGAGGGCGCGGCAAAGCCCTGCACCTTACCTAGAACTGTGACTCTGGAGTGCTTCGCACTCCCCCTGCGGCCAGGTCCTCGCTCGGGGAAGCTGGGGCCCCCGAGGCTGGGAGCAGCAGAGTAGAGGGCGGCCCCGGCCTGCAAGGCGCCCGGAGTGTGGGCCTGTCCTGCAGCCACGCCCCCCAGGAGTTAACTGCTCCTCGGAAACAGGAGAGAAGAGGCAAGAGACCTTAGGAAGGTTCTAGAACTCTGTGAAAAGGCTGTGGTTCTGAGCTCAGGGCGGGGCCTCGTCTTGGAGCAAGGGATCTTGCAGAAGGTGCTAGAACCTCCCTGCTTCCTGCTTGGGGCTCGGCCGCTCAGCCAGGCAGTGCGCGGCCTTCCGGTGCAGTCAGCAGCGCTGCTACCTTGACCCCTACAGAGCTGCGCCCCGCCCCCGTAGTCCTTCAAATCCGCAGCCCAGGGTGCCACCTGGGCCCAGGCCCGCCCTCTGACGGGTGCCCCGGGCCCTCCCAGCTCCACTTCTGGAGGTCCCCTGCAACGCTGCCACCCTCCGGGCGCCAGCGGCCCTGTCCGTGGTCTGCCCGCAGAGGAGGGGCGGGCTACGGAGTGTCCCTGGCCAGCTGCAGGGCGTAGAAAGGATGAGGACACATGGCGGGAGGGCGGTGTGAGCTTGCACGCCGGCGTGCCTGTGAGGCATTGCCAAGGCAGCCGTCTGTCCCCTGCTTGATTTCTGTGCTTCTCGATTCAGGCCAAGGTAGGGGGCCGTCTGCTGAAGTGGGTACAGAGAAAGTGTTTCCACTGTGCAGAGAACTGGCTTCTGAGGCGAGTCGCGTGCTGGGCACAGGAC